GTGCTCGTACGCAAGGCTCAGACATGCGTGAAGATTGCTATCGCGATTTTGGGATGGCACTTGGCCGGAGAACCCACTGGGCATAATTTCAGCAAAACTTGCTTGGTTGTCGAGTTGAAATTGTTATTTTAATTTTAGATGATGTATGTTTATGTAAAAAGTAAGGGTATGAAAGTAAGGGAATAAAAGGGAATGTGAATAGGTTAAATCTGAATAAAAACCTCAATAGGAATGTTTCGGTCTATCAAGTCGCATACATTCCTGTTCAGTGCTGCAACTGGATCTCGTCAGTATGACGGTTGCAGCAAGCACCCACTGGTTGGACTAAGTCAGTCACTTTCAAGTGTTGCTTAGAAGTAAGATAACGGCGGAACTTGTATTCATGCATTTATGCGTATTTGGACATATAGGTAGAAATTTTCAAAAAAAAAATCTCAGAGTTCTCCACAAACTTAATTGATACTTGAAAAGGCTGTTGATTCGCTACTGAATCATATTCGGAAAGTGTGAGTTTGACAATCGTGTTATTTTCTTTCTTCATTTTACGATTGTTTTCACCAATGCTGCATCGCATGAATGTTCGGCCTTCTGGATATCCTGAAATGCCTTCTGTTTTTGAAGAAATTTCTTACTGAATGGCCTACTAAATAGCATCAGACATTTTAAATAACATCAATAAGAGCGTTTTGTGTGTCAAAAAGCATAAAAATAAAAAAGTTCACTATTGGGAGCTAACGAAAAAGACGCTTTCGTAAGTCCGGTAGGTGAGATGTGTACTTTTTTTACCCTTCTCCCTTTTGTGTTGGCAAATGAAAAGATTGTTGAAATATTCGCGTTATGCTGTATCAGGGAAGTAAGGAATAAATTTCGAATAAGCCTTAGTTGAGCTCTTTAATGTTAGCTTCTCACTATAAGCGCCGAGTGCAGCATCCAGAATGACCTTGGAAACAAACAGGTGAGACGTGATAAAATTCGGAAAGAAAGGGAAGTATAAAAGGAGAAGGCCAAACTGAGATAAAACGTTTCGGCCCATTAAGTCATATACGTCTTAACTCGACAGTGCGACTGAACCTCGTCGGTATGACAATAGCAGTGCTTAATGAGAAAAAAAAGGTGGAAAATGAAAGAAAGGGAAAGAAAGATGAGAGAAAAAAACGGAAAAAAGGTATGATGGAGGAAGACGGTTTTAATATAGCAAATCCTGAAATATGACTTTTTTTTAGACGCGACGAGCAGCAGCAACAGCAACAGCATCGATGCGTTACAATGCTGTATCAGCAACTGCACCGAATGAATACTACTACTTCGGTGTTATACAACTGCCCCAGGTAAATTTGTTCTTCAATTCCACAACTTAGGTTAAAACTAATGAATTTTTTTTTCTTAATTTTCAGATTTCAAGTGAAAACCCCATCTTCATTTTCACTTTTTACAGTAGATGAAAGCTTTAGAAATTAGCCTGATTGTTAGCCTGGAGTGCTGTTTTGCTCTGAGAGACTTATTTGACAATTCTGGTCATTGCGTTAAAACTTTATGGACGGAGAACGCTTCTTTCTAGTTTGCATAATTCTCAGTTTTTAACGTTTGCAAAATAGGATTCTGCTCCCAGATTTACTCCAAGTCTAATAATTTATCTTTTTTTGAAAATAATTTTTCATCATACTTTTTCCCCAGAAATTTCAGTTTCCCTTTTACATGATCTTTCATCGATTTAACCTCCGTTTTAATTGAAAAAAAAAAACAGGAAAATTCTTTACCTAAGCATCAGCTTTATGAGGGGGGATGTCCCGCCATAAATAGAGGGACATCCCCACTCATAAAGCTGATGCTTAGGTAAAGAAAGCTGAAAGCCAATAAGATAAAACTGATGCCTAGGTAAAGCTGCGGGCTCTAGCTTTACCTAGGCATTAGCAGTTTGATCCCTCAGCCGTACCTAAGCACTAGCAGTTTGATCCCTGAGCCTTACCTAAGCATCAACTTCATAAATACGGAAGCTTTACCTAAACATCAGCAGAAGTTCATAAATACGGAAGCTTTACCTAAGCATCAGCAGTTTGATCCGCTGTATGGACGGAGAGGGAGTGAAGGATCCTTTTTAAGGCTATATGGGAAAGTCGTCCTGTCAATTAAAGGTTGAAATTGACTGTTTTCTTTCTGTTTATGCTTGATTGGGATTGTCTAATTGCCGCGAAAACCACAGCATCATGATCTGACGGATTGCTTTCTATATCCTCTAATTAAGCCATATCCTCTATCCTTTAATTGAACTCTAATTGAGCTGGATATTCGGCATGAATGGATTTATTTTCATGATTATAGCAATAACTGCGTGATGATGTTTTAAGCTTGATATTCAGCGAAAATAAATTGATTTTTATCATGATAAAAGCATTTTTCATGATTTGAACAATGACTGCGTGATATTTTAAGCTTGTTATTCAGCGAGAATAAATTGATTTTTATCATGATAAAAGCAATTTTCATGATTTGGGCAATGACTGACTGCGTGATGATGTTTTAAGGAACGAGTGCATCAAGTGATGTGCCGTATGCCACCACCTCAAGAATACTTCAGCCTACCTCCAATCGAGAAAGCGGCCTATCTTTTTTACTGCACCCTCTATCAGCATCATTATCAGCCGGTGGATTTATTCCATAAGAAATTCAATCGTGAATACTTTAGCTACATGTGCGAAGGAGATTCGGCCGAGCTTGCACTCTGGAAGGTTCTTTTTTTAAATGTGTTTTTGTGCTAATAAAAAATGTAATGTGATAAGAACTTGTTTACTTATGTATGTATTTGGGAATATATATAAATAAAATTCAGCTATCGCGCATACTTATACTGCGCATACGGCCACGTCAAAGTTCGCAATTGGTG